TTAGAGAATGTGGGATGGGACATTGGTGCTTGGGTGCAATACTTTATTGAAAATGGTACTTGGTGCACTATAAACTGTTGTACAATGGCTTATTATTTTAAAAAAATTTAAAAAGAAAAAAAAAAACGGGAACACCTGCGACACAGAAGGGGAACACCAATGATGCAACAAATGAACCTGTGGCTGGAAAAAAAAAGTAAAAATAATTAAAAACAAAAAGGCAACACCAGTGATGCAGAAGGCGGAACACCTGCAACACGGAAGGGGAAACAGCAATGAGACCGCAAAAGAACCTGCTGCTGAAAAAAAAGTCAAAAGAAATGTAAAAAAATAAATAAATAAAAAACAGGAACACTGGTGATGCAGAAGAAGGCACACCAGTGACGCCACTGACACACACAAAAAAGAAAGAAATGACAGTGAATATTCAGCACAGACAACAATACTATATACAGTACAGAGTACTGTATATAGCACTAACATGCTGTATAAAGTACAGACACCAGTTATCTTACACTACACTATACTACACTACAATGTACTACACTACAATCTATCTTCAACTCCAGCAACACACTACATAAGGCTGCAAAGTAAGCAGCCTTATATAGTGTGGGGCTGGGACTTAGCTATGAGCCATGATTGCGCAAAGTCATCATTACTTTGCCCAATCATGGCTCTTACAGTGCACTGTGCCGTGATTGGTCAGGTGCATTGCTTTACACAATCAGGGCTTTCACAAGGCACTGTGCGGTGTGTGGTATCTAAGGTTTACTGTGCGGTATCTGTGCGGTATCCAAGGTGTACTGCCCCATCACACAACAAACAGTCTTGCTCCAATGTTAAAGTTACAGCAACAACAGGGAATCAGTTAATTGCATAGAATGAGTTAATCTTATGGAAGATGCACTTGCTGGGAAGCACACCAAAAAAGTGTGTTTTTTAAACATATATGTAAACTGTGCCTTATCTCTTCACTGAAAACACTAAACACACTGCTCTGCATTTGTGAAAGCTAAGCTCTGGACTATTCAGAACAGTATGATGCCAGCAGCAATAGATTTTTAGCAAGAGGGTCAGCCAGCTGCCCAGGATGAATGCCAGGCTGAAAATAAGAGCCAGTTCAGTAGATTGGTTGTGTCCCCTGGGTCACTCTAGATGTAACATTTTCATGTTTAAATGAAATGTACCTGTATGTCTGCTGGTTCATTAATTCTTAATCAACCTTTAAAACCAACAATGCAGCCAGTTAAAGTATGCTTGTGATCTTCTCAGTAATTAAAATCATAACCTATACGTACATCTGTGTACAAAATACAGTGATATATTTCATCTTTATAGGCATGCTAATAAATTGTAATTCTCCTATGGATCTAATTTTCATCTGTAATGGGTACCTGAAAATTATTTCTATCTAATGTAATCATTTATTTTTATTATGCTTTTTCTGGACATATTTACATACAAATTGCAACTACCTTGGACACAGTTAATTTAATTTGGAGACCTCCAATATGTGAATAAAGGAAGATTCACAGCACTTTTAACCTTGTGAGTCCACTGGGAAATGTGTGATGAGTTGGTAGAAAATGATTGGCTTCAGGAAACAGTATAAAAATGACAGCAATATATAAACCTTCAACTGTAGAAGAACAAAGTACAAGGTTACTTTATGGTGTTCCTGAAAGTTCAATATTATTTGGTTGATTTATATTGTTACTATTGCAAGCTTTGTATTCTTCTCCTGTGCCTTTAGGGACTCATAAAAGTAAATCTTGTGTGAATCATTAGATGAGATTAGGTAATTTAATTTGTTACAGATACGGTGACATTTATATTTGCCCATATTCATACATACATATGTAGCCCCTACCACCCTCAGTGGAGTGGCTACAAGGAATTTAGCTTTGCTAGTACTGTAACCAGTCTAGCTGATTTGGTCTGTGCCACATCTTTTCACACTTGACAACATACCTCAAAATAAAACAGTAAGTCTGCGGCAACTCTCAGTATTCACTTCTATAGTTGGGGTCCCCAATATTAAACAAAGGGCATGGGTAGCTGGGTAATGCCCTCAGGAATGTACTGTATACCAATGCAAGAAAAAAAAATCAAATACCATTGAGCGAGAAGCAGCTCTGTTAAACATTAAAAATACACAATCCCTTTAAATAACATGTTCGAGTGATGACATAAACTTTAAGGAGGAGTATTATGAAAAAAACTGGATCCCCCAAATTCTTTAAGCGACCCTCATCCAGGCATGCAACCTGGCTAGCAAGGAAAAGGGGGCACAGAGATCATGCGGCCCCCTTCTAAATCTTAACAAGCCATGGGCCCTCAACATAGGGAAGGTACATTGCTGGGGGAAGCGAGGCACATCATCCACCCGGCAAGTCACCTTGCCCCCATGTTGATAGGGACAAGGGTATCATCCCCTCAGCTGGTCCCCAAGAGGATGTAGTCTGTGGGGAAAACTTTAAGATAAGGGGAAACCCAGATATCTGTCCTTCCACCTAACATGAATGAGTAAGGGTTACATAGTTCCCCTTTTTACCTATTTAAGAACAAAATGTTCATAATCAATAACAACAGGCATGCTGATAAAGTCCTTTATTAAAAAAATGTTCCATGGTGTAAATTTATTGTCAATTACAATGCATGATGATAAGCACTGTCATAAGTAAATGTCGAATATATAAAGGGAGACATTATTTGGGACAGTTCGAATCTATCAAATGTAGAGGCAGTGAAGTTTTGCCAGCGCCTGAAAAAAGTTTTTAACTCTGTATTCAGTTCCGCTTTCATCCTTTCCCTATTAAATAACAATTTGAGTTCTCCCACAACCTCTGATAACTGGAGTGCAGACGGTACATTTCATGAACGCATTATACATCTCCTGGCTGCAAGCAGGCAGATGTGAATCCAGTCCGAACCTCTGCGTTCAGAGCGAGGAGTTGTATCCAAGTGGTCACATGATGCACGGAGTAGGAACAACATTGGAGACAAAGGTGGTGACCAGGACACAATGGTGTTGCTGTAGGTAGAGATTTGTGTCCAGAACGCGGTGATGAAAGGATAAAATCATGGGCACTGTGCCAAGGATGAGCACAATTGGCCACACTTAGGGCAGCACAAAACAAGTGGTTGCAGAAATGGCCCCGCTGGCATGAAGTATGGTACATATGCCCTATGTAGCAGTTTGAATTGGGTCTCCCTTCATATCTCATTTGTAACAAGGCATCTGATTTTGTTGTAGCCACGCAGAAGGTGATCAACGATGTCCGGTTCTGGGAAGCCTTTGGACCAGTCCTTCACATTAGGGGCCGAAAGTGACGGGGTGTAGCAGAGCTGGAGTTTGGGGTACAGCACAGAGATAGAGTATTGACCAGTGTGCATTAGAGTATCCAGGAACTTAGGCGTAAAAAATATCTTGGCATCCCTTGACCATTTTTTCTAGGTTTCCGATAATTGGAGAAAGTATAGAAATGTAATTTTGCAGAGAGATCACGGAAAGGGATGGATTTGTAGGAATCCTCCACGAACAGTTGTCTCCAAGACCATCAACCCCCTTGGCCCCGAGAGAACATCGTATTACCTTGTATTGGACAATGCAGAATGATGGACAGCGATGATCTATCAGCAATGATATTTGAAACATTTTTGGTGTCCACATTGATAAGTGAAATCGGCCTGTAGGAGCCAGTGAGTGTAGGATCCTTACCTGCTTTTGGGATAAGTTTAATGAAAGCTTCCCTACCCATCTGAAAGTATGTTGCCCCCTGCCACATAGAATTGTAAAGGGAGCACAGAGTTTCCAGTTGAAAAAACTTCTGCAGTAAAGCAACGACATGGGCAACCTCAGTTTAGTTTTGTTAAAGGGGGAAGGGTCCGATGAGAAAGCCCAGGAACATGTATTATAGTCATGTTCCAGGGATGGCAGTCTTTGTAGTCTTTCCTTTTTGAGTCTGGAGGACAGTTGGATTATCTTTCCACTGAGGACAGGCTTGTGGGCTTCCCAGATGGTGATAGGGGAAATTTCGGGAGTCTGGTCAAGGGCAATATACTCAGAGATGTGGGGCGCTATTGTTGCCTTAGAGGTCGGGTCCAATAGCAACGAGTCTTTCAGGGTCCAAGACGATGAGATACCTGTAGGGAGTAAGTGCAAGATAAGTATGGTGATAGTTGAGTGGTCTGACCAAGGGACAGGCAGCAGGCAGGAATGGAGGATTTGGGGCTGTAAAGAAGTATTGCCGAAGATGAGGTCAATCCTAGAGAAGACGTTATGGGGGTGAGAGTAGAAAGTGTAATCTAATTTATATATGGTACCTGGTATATATAGTGTTGACTGGGTTTTTGGGCCTGACGTGCTGAAACATTGTATGGATTGAAAACATGGAAAAACTTTACATCGCAAAGGTACTATCCACTAGTAGAACGTTTGAAAGGGGTCTAGCAAGCGGGTAGTGGTTTCAGGCTTGAGGGAGAGAGAGTAGTGGGACACCGGCCCTCCAAATTGGGAGGGGGCCAGAACTGATCCTCTCGGGGTAGGTCAGGGGGGTTCCAAATTCGATCAGGAGTTGCATAGAAGACACTGCAGGTGTTCACAGATCCGGCAGCTGGGTATAAGGATGTCTGTCCGGTACATAGCAGTGTGGAAGACAAGAGCAGTACATAACGGGGGTAAAACTGAACTCCGGGAGTCTGGACAAAATCCGTCCATTCGAGACTATGAGGTAATCCAATCCTCCCATGACAGGTGCAAAAAGAGAAATGGGGAGAGGAAAAAAAATTAAAATAGAAAAATAGATGACCATGCTTATTACAGCGATCCATAGAACAGGAGATGAATCAGTGTATGACGCAACGATTGCGAAATAGGTATCCTCACATGAGAGGGAACTGCGGAGTGGTAAGGGGCCACATGGAGGCATGAGTGTGGATTTAGCGTGGGGTTCCGGACCTCAGTCCCATCTTGACTGCTGGGCCGCTGGATTCACCAGAGTTGTTCTGGTCGGAAACACTTCAGGGACATTTGGAAGAAAAGGCAGGAAGATCAAGAGGAGATGAAGAGGTAGGACGCGAGTCCAACAGGCCCAGCTTGGATTGAGCATCTTCTAATGTGACACACACATGTTGCTTACCGCCGTGTGAGAACATCAGGTAGAATGGGAACCCCCACTTGTATGCGATGTGATGCTTATTCAGGACATCGGGACAGGGTCAGGGGGTCCTGCGTTTGGAAATGGTAGACGGAGCCAGGTCCGTGAAGAGCTGATATTCGTGGCCCTGGAAGGTCAGTGAGGCATGATTGGCCTCGGCGCTGGCCGCAGCTAGCAGCGATTCTTTGGTGCGCTATTAGTGCAGCTTTACCAACACATCACAGGGGGGTCTGTCGGCCCTCTTACGATTCAGAGTCCAGTGGACTCGCTCGATCTACAGGCGATCAACAGGGATGTCAGGGGCCAGCTCCTAGAAGAGCGCCGTGGCAGTTGAGAATAGGTCCATTATGTGTTCCGGGAGCCCCCGAATGCAAAGGTTAGAGCAGCGGTATCGATTCTCAAGGTCCTCTAGTTTGGTAAGTAATTGAATGTTCTCTTCACAGACGGTTTCCATATCTCTGTTGATTTGCAGAGAGGTCAGATGTAAATTCTCCAATCCTCCAGGGTTGCAGTACGCTGGCCTATGTCACGGATCTCCTTTAACAGGTGGTCCGTGATTAGTTTGGAGGTAGATTGCAATGCCTTCTGTAGCATGGCATCAAATCTTTGGAGAAGAGCTGAATGGGAGCTATTAAGGGACTTGTCTCCACCGAGGCTTTCTTCCTCCATGTCACTGCTGGATGCCGATTCCGCATGGGTCCGAGAAGGAGGCGCCATTTTAGCAGAGGCCCGTGCTATCGCCTCAGCAATGGGGTTGTTCTTTGTTTTCTGGGCTCCCGAGTGAGACATAATCCGTTGCAGTGGGAAGAGGGAATAAAGATGAGGCAGATTTGGTAGATGATGAGTGCCCAACTCCTTGCTAGTAGAGGTTTGCCTGGGAGAGCTGCTGAGCCGTCTAAAAAACTGTCCGCCATCGACAGCCTCGCGCATGCGCCCCCGAAAATAATACAAATATTTTAAAGAAAAGAAAATAATGAATAAAAAATAATTTAAAAAAAAGTGGCACACGCCGGCCCGACTGCACGTGACAAACTCTCGCCGCATGTCAAATCTGATGGCAAAATATAAACACTTGGGCGGAGCTAGCTCCGCCCAACTGTTTCCTATTGGCCGGCACCTGCCAGAGTCTTCTAGCAGGTCCCGTGCAATGAATAAGAACTGGGCGGCTCCGTCTAGTTGTTATCGCTTAATGACAGATCAGCGTCCCCAGGTCATTACAACGCTGATTTGTCATTACAACTGGCCGGAGCCAGCCGTGAGATCACGGCTGCCTCTGCCCAGCTGTCATTTGCGTGGAGATCGGTCGGCTTCGGACGACTTTTCTACACACTTCGCCTGTCCCTACGGCTCAGCCGAGCTGAAGCGTATGGGCTCGGCTCTGCTAAGCTGCTCGGCTGCCTTTGGCTGCATGTATGCGCTATAGTGAATAGCCCATACAGCAGCCCTTCGTTCGAATGAACTTAAGGGCTCAGGTAGCAGAAGTGAACCAAAGGATAAGCAGAAGCTACGGCTGGATCCTTCGTGAATAACCCCCTTTGTTTTGTTTAGTTTTTTCCATATTGACAATTTTACACTTTCAGCAGATTTATTGTATGAAGTTGCTCTGGCCTGTACTCCTTCCTTTCCCATGTCTATTGGAGGAAAGATAATTACCACCAGTTACTTAGTATATGATGAGATATTATCATACGTATACTGGGACAAGGTATCTGATTTTGTCCCTTTATTTATAATATATATTGAATGAGTATTTGGATGGTGACGTTTTTTGTCTCTATCTCAACAGCTCTGTTTTATTTTAATATGTGCAAGAACCTCCTGAGGAAACCAGTGACTCAACATTGTGAAACGCATTGAGGTGATTGCTGCTCTCGCCAGTGGGCCATTTTGTGCTTTTTGATTGTAAAAATGAAATGCATATGACTGTCTGGATATAAAATAGACTGACAATAGGCAGGTGGGAGCATCTCTTGAACTATTTTGTATGTTATTGTTTTTAGAGAAAATTGATGTTTAATGTAATGTTATGGATTTAATAAAATATTAGAATTTTAATAATCAATGCCATTGAAGTACCAGTAGCCTCCCTGGCGGTATGATTCTTTTCTCTTTCATTTCTTTTTCGGGTCGATTTTATTTTGCTATTTTTTTTTATTTTTATTTTTATTTTTTTAATCTCCCGCCATTTCTGCCCCCGTGTGACGCGTACACTTACAGGGACAGAACCCGGAAGACAGATGCTGGCGCCGGCCGGAGGACACCGCGCGGCTCAAGGGACAAGGTAAGTAAATACTATGCGATATTCCCGAGTGTAGCTCAGGGTATGGAGAAGTAAGCCCGAGCTACACTTGGGAATACCGCCCAGGAGGTTAAAGTCCACTTTGGTTCGTATGAACCAATTCCTTTTTTCTAAAATTTCTAATAAACAAGGCTGAGTTTATGTTACATTCATCATTCTGCATACTTGCAAGTAGTCATCTGCATACACTGAGTGGCCAGATTATTATGACCACCTGACGTTTGTAGGCAAATTAGCTAAGGTATACATGATCATTAAAAATAAAGTGCGCAACTCATATACAAAGCAAATTTTGCTTACTTTGTTTCTGTAACTTGATGGCACAGTAGCAATTTTCCACTACAGATTCTTGTTTTCAAAACTATTAGAAGGTTTTTTATAATTACAATGGGGGGAATTTATCAAAGCAATTACGACAGTTTTAGCCTCATTTACCATAATTTTTTTTTATGTGCAAATCTGTCTTTTAACATGTGCCCCTGTTTTCACCTGAGCTCGCACTACTTTTCCAACTGCACGTGTTTTGCCCAAAGCTTGCACTACTTTTCCAATTGCACATGTTTTTTGCACGTGTTTTCTTCAGAGCTTGCAATACCTTTTCAATTGCATGTTTTTTGCCCCTGTTTTGCACCTGTTTTCTTCAGAGTTTGCGCTGCTTTTTGAACTGCACGTTTTTTGCACTTGTTTTCATCTGCACTTGTTCTGGGGCTGTATGAAACTGGAGCATCACCTAAGAAAACAATCACAACTTAAGAAGTCCTCGTGACCACTTCTTCAAGATGCGACAGTTAAGCTTTTTGCCTGAAGTTACAAGTCTTCTTTCCTGGAGTCAGTTAAACCTCATTTATCAATAACATTACACTAGCTTGATAAATCTGGTGCAAATATATTCCGTGCAAGTTCAAACACTCGCAATTGCTTTGATAAATACCTCCCCAACATGTCTAATGAAAATGATATTTATTATCAAGGCCTAGACTGCATTGATAAATAAGGTGCAAATAAAAATGGAAAATTTGTCACTTAAATAAAAGTGTAGCAACTCCCTTGATAAATTCCCCCCATTGTCTCTTTCACCACACCTATTTTTGCACTAAAATAGAGGTCTAATTATGTAATATTCCTTTTCACGGCACGGATAGTGGCTGGAATGCACTGGATAGCATAATTAAAGCCTTCCACGTTCTGGGATGGGAGGGGACGTGGTGGTGCCATTCATGTCAATGCTACTGCAGTCACGCCTCCCACCTGCAGAGCGATTGTCCACACCAGAACGTGTGGTATAGCAATGGCCGAGGTCCGCTGTGGTGCAATCGCAAAAATAGTGCATGCACCCACCAGGCCCAGGGTTCTGGGGAAGAGGCCCTTTTCCTCACCGACATGGGGGCAGGTTTCCCCCTGGCATAGCACCCCCCCCATCCCCATGTTAAGGGGATGTGGTCTGGTATGGTACACGAGGGGGGCGCACGCTTGTTTCCCCCCTTTACTGCTCTGCCAGGCTGTTGCTCGGATCAAGGGTCTGGTAAGGCATTTTAGGGGGAACCCCACACTTTTTTTTTTTATTTTTGTTTTTAATTATTGTTTCTGTGGACTGTTAAAATGAAAAATGTTATGTCCCTTTGCTGCAATGAAAATGTGTTCATAGATATCATATAACTCATCTGAAATTAATGAAAATCCGAAACTCGAAACAAATTGACTTTCGGCCCCGAATCACAAAATAATGAAAAATCTAAAACAAAGCAAACCAAACTGAATTTTTGGCCGGTTTACATGTCTAATCAGCAGCTTTTAGTGACAGGGATGGAGATCTCACAAGGGGTTTCAGAGGCTTAGGATACACCACTTCAAATAGGGAAGAGGGTCGTGGGGCCTCTCTGAGGAGGGTCAAGTCAAGGTTTAACCCTTTCGCTGCCAAGCCCTCCGGAACATTTTTCAAATCAGCTGGCCAAGCCATAGAAAGATCATCACCACTACACCAAACAATAAGGTCAGTCATATGTGCACAAGTTTGCGCTGAAAATCCTTATCTTAAATCCCAATGTTACGTTTGGAGTACACTGCACGCCTGCCCTCCACCCTTTTTTCCTGCTGTCTTCAGGCCAATCTGGTCACATAATGAATCCTTCCTCTTCTCTGGTGGTGGTGGCTGTGATTAATCCTTACAAATGGACAGTATGGCATTCATGTTATGATGTGTGAGCACGGTGCTGCTCAGATGTATTGAGTCCCAGCCAGCGTGATGAAGAGATTTATGGGACATGTCCATGACAGCTCAGGCTCACAGAAAATGGCTGCTTGGTGTCCCTATCCCTGAAAATAAGTGGTGACCAGGACCGTGAGCAATTATCCTATGGTAGACAGCAGGGATGAGGTGAGTATTGCAGCAATAATGTTTTACTTTTTTAAATTTCTACTATGACTAGGGCATGCCATTTTTAAAATCACCAAAATTAAGTTGGGCTTTAAATATTTACCACTAGCTGCCTTGTCTGGAGTCCTCCTATATTGTCAAAGGTGTTTTCTGCCTCTGCACTGCTATTTTGTATTCA